GAGCTGATCAACTATCCGCATTTTGTTTCTTTGGTAAATAACTAAATATATCCACCCTTAAATATTATGATATTTTTCGTCAATATTGTCTAATATATTATATTAAAAAGATAAAATATAAAATTGTGAGAATTAAAACCAAACTTTTGAATTTTATAAACAATAAAAATAATTGTTTTAATTTTAAGATAACTAAATCAAAGTTGTATTTATATAGGAATTAAATTCATAGTTTTAATAAGAGCCTTTACAAACTTCAACTTCAACTATCGATTCTAATAATTAATCCATTGTTCATTAAATAATGTACCGTGCATAAATTTTTTTCTAACAACTTAAATATTTATATGGAAATACTCTTTTTTATTGTACATCAGTATATATTAAACACATAATAAAATTCGAAATTTTTACTTAAATAATATTTTTTTTAAAAAAATTACAAAAATATTAACTGTGCAAGTTTATTTACCAATATAGAACTGTTTATTGTTCATGCTCAGAATTCGGTTCCCGGAGAACCGAATTTTGAGCTTCAAAATCTTATTTTTTTTGTTTTCAAAATCTTATTTTTTTTGTTTTCAAGATTTTGAAGCTTAGAATTCGGTTCCCCGGGAACTGAATTCTGAGCATGAACAGTAAACAGTTTTATATTGGTAAATAAATCTGCACAGTTGATACTTTTGTAATTTTTTTTTAAAAAATATTATTTAAGTAAAAATTTCAATAAAATTCACCTCAGTATGTATTAAACACATCTTAAAATGAAAAAAAAAATCTTAAAATTCAGATTGAAGGTGCCTTATAAAGCCAAATTAGACAAAAAGAAACGCACTTGAATTGAAACGGTTCACCCTTGGCCGTGAATGCAAAGTCAGTCTATTGCGATGGGTGAGAAATAGACGGAACGAGGCTGCTCTTCTAAACCGGAAGCATAAACATGTCCTTCTTCTCACAGACGTGGCATCCTTATCGTTTTACTTTTTTTTATTTTTATTTTTTAATTAGATCTCATTAGAATTTAGGATAGAAGTCGTACTTAAGAAAGTTTCACACAATATAAGAAAGAAGAAAGAAGAAAAAGAGATTAAAATAAATAAATAACTATTAGAAAATGATATTAATTTAATTGAAAATTTAAACTAAATATTTCAAAACCCCACTATGCTCGGTTTATTTATGTACAAATAAACAATAAAATGATGCAAGAATTCTTATTCTGTTATCCTGGCCTCATTGGATTGCATTGCTGCCAATTTCTGTCTGCTGACTTATAGATGAGTCACCTTGTTGACTTTAGCGACAGAAACAAAGTTCCCTCTTCCTTTATTTCTTTTTAATATTTTCTCAAACAATTAGAAGGTGGTTTAGATTATAAATATGGAATGTTAATATTGGGATTAGACTTTATCGAATCTTACTTTCACGCCTTTAATCACTTAAATCTTCTTTTGTATTTATTATTAATGTTAACTTACTAGTTTAGTTGAACTTTAACTCCTTAGAAAAAAGAGTCTAGTTTCTCTTATTAAGCATCAATATCTTAAATATTTAATAAATAAACTTGCATTACAAAAAAGATTTAAGACAATTAATAAATAGATCAAGTTCTATTCTTAGAAACAAGTTTCAATATATATTTTGTTCCAATTCAATATTATAAAGATATTTTTTAATACCTAATGAATCAAATATCAAGTTATGTTGATGACTCCATAATAAGCATTAAGAGTAGAAATAAAATATTAACATTGAAATGAAAAGACACACACATATGAGGAAGGATCCACTTATTTAAAGAGTATGCTTTTTTAGATTCACTCCACTTAATAATACTTATTATATCAAATTTTAATGATTTAATCGTTAAATTAAAAGTTTCTAATACATATATTAAGTCAACTAATTTTAAAAAAAATTGAAAACTATTTGATATTATGTTTCATTAACTCAAATGGATGGATAATCATAAAAATATTTTATTTGTTGATTCAAATTAATGAAACAAAGTATTAAATAGTTTTCAATTTTTTAAAAAATTTGTATAATTGATTTATACATTAAGAAATTTTAATTTAACGGTTGAATTGTTAAAATTTGATGTAGAATATGAATTATTAAGTGAAATAAGTAAATCTTCTCTCTATATATATATATATACACATATAATTAATACAAATTACATGAGAATTTGGTTAGTTACATTTAAACTCCGATAAAAATGGAATTAGCTCATCATTAACACATAGAAGAAAAAAAAGATGATTGATAAAAGATAAGAGTCATGGAGAAGGTTGAGAGTAGGGAAAGAAGCCATAGTAGCACTCTAAGCTCTTCCCCCAATGAAGAATGATGAATGATGTTCAAATCCTCAAATAAAGAGGGATAAAATGGGCCAAACACGTAATAAAAATGGCGCCCGCCACATGCTGACACATGCTAAGTGCATAAATATATTTTTATTTAAAAATGAAAATAGTATCTATATGTTACGTATATATTTTCTATATTTATCACATGTTAAATTATTTTGTATAGCAATGCTGTTTAATTACAAATTTCAACCTTTCGGGCTTCCTACTCTCATGAGATATTTTCCACTTCATTCCAAAACATATATGAACAAATAACAACTTCGTTACCTCGGATCTGGATGGAATAGTGAACTTATTTAATTTGTTTCGGGTTTCTTTAGTATTCTTGTTTATTTTGACCACTTGGTTGTTGTTTCAGAATTTACAGGAAGGTTTTGTAACTTCTGTTCGACGATGTGATATTGGAATTCTTTTCTTTTCTCTCTACCACATAAATATAAAATCTTTACGTGCAATTTCGCCATCACACGTCCATTCCAAACAAAGGGTGTAAAATATAAAATCATATTTTGTGAAATTGTATTTTTGTATCAAAGCTTTCCAAGGGGATCCAAACACAAACAACTGGAATTGCTTGTTGACCTATGTGCCGTCCAATCCCTTGAAATTATGCTGCATGTCATGATTTCACCTATGATACAATTCTTAAGGTTGATGATAAGTCTTTTATCCAGGGATAATAATGCGAAAATAGATTAAGTTAAATTTCAATATTTTATAGGCTTGAACTTATTTATTTAAAATATTTTTATTGAGACTTTTTAAATAAGTTAATGGCCTAAATTTACAAGTCAAAGTAGAAGACTTAAACTTTTTAAATAGATAAATATTTTGAAAATAATAATAATAATAATAATAATAATAATAATAATAATAATAATACCAATAAATTTGTTAGACGTAAAAAGCTTTTCAAATAATATGAAGTCCTACCTTTTTTAACTAAATAAAATTTTAAAAATATTTTATATTATCAACTAATTAAAAATCACCTTATATATAATTTTAAAAGTAATTACAATATATATATATATTATGTTTTAATTTATAAATTATATTTAAAATTAGTATGCACAAATATTTTGAATATATAAATTATATTTTAAATTTAGGTTTAAATATTTTTTTAGTCCTTCAAATTTAAAATTAACCTTTTTAATTCCTATAATTTTAAAATAATAATAATAATAATCCTTGTACTCAAGTTCTTATTATTATTAATGAACATTGTTATATTTTATTAAAATTTACACTTAAATATTATGTTATATTAAGTTTTGAATTTTATAAATACATTAAATGTTAAGAATATATAAATAATATTTTATTTAATTTTTTAATGTTTTAAAATAATGATAATATATTTATTTAATATTATATTTATAATAATAATAATTATTATTATTAATTTATTAATATCGGTTTGATCTCAGTTCAATCACAGTTAAATGTCAGTTCAATGACTAAAGTAATTTTGAAACCATTAATTTAAATTATTCAATAAATGTGTAAGACCTAACCTTGATTTAATGTGAATTAAGCCATAAATCATTGATGAATAGTTTGATTATTTTCATCTTAAGTGAAGAAGACGAAAGTGTGCACGCAACACATTTATACAATTTAGAAACATCACACACACATACATTAATACATTATTAATGTAACGTACGAAGTGCGAGATAAAACTAATGATATGGGATGAAGTGAAAATAGCTACATATGAAAATGAACCTATGGTTAGAATTACCACACGATGTGGGGAGGTAACTCATTTGGAAGGTAAGGTGTTAAATAATGAACAATGAAAGGACCATCATATCATGAATTAAAGGAAAAGAGACGTAGTAAATTTATCTCTATAATACAAACAAAGAGAGATCAAATCATGGTGAAAATGTAGGCAATATCCTAAAGATTCCGATCTGTGGGTCCGTGTACTACCAACATACATTTGGATTAGCTCGAGTCCGATTCCACCCACAAATCATGATGTTGATGGTAAGGTCCCCATGTCTCTTAATATAAAGTAACTTGCTTGGTTGTCCTTCCTCTTCAAATCGATCCGCATCTCAAGTACACTAAGCTTCTCTTTAATTAGACTATTTTATCAAACATTTTTAGAAGATAACAATATTTTCATACGTAATTATACATGTATATATAATTCATATTATTTTAAAATATTTTTTATTAATTATACATGTATTTTCTATTTCTGAATTTCTGGTATAAAATTGATGTGATTCTTACAGACACGCATGGAGTAATTTTCATGGGATTAGTTTGATGGTCGATATGTGGTACGAATATTATTCCCTCACGAGTGGCTGAGACTTTACCTTAATTAACATAAGCATAAATGGCCTCAAACTGTTCCTCTAACCAAATTAAAATAACAAAGTAAAAAAAGAAAGTGTAGCAAAGTTTAAAACTTTCTGGGAGCCAGGAGGGTAAGTGGTCCTATCATACCCACTATAGAACAGAGGAGATGAAAAAATGAAACAAAGTTCCTACCAGTAGTTGTCAAAAACCACCACTTTGTGGATTAAAACCTGATTTGTGAAAGTGAAGGTACATGGACACATACCATTAAAAGAACCCTCTCACTGATACATAGTACTATTTATTTGGTGCAACAGAAACTATATCAGCTTAGAAATTTTGGGCACAGAAATACTGGGTACGGTCTAAAGGTGGTGATTCTCGTATGAAAGGGGAGAAGCCTCGGGAACAGACTGGACTTCCACTTCTCAATCTTGCAGAGGTTACCTCATTCATACCTGTTTGAGCAAGTTCTTCAAATTGAGATGTCCAACTTCAGATCAGAGGGGGTGTTGATCTCTTAATTGTAAGTTCTTAATTATTATTGTATTTAGATATATATACTTTAAGTTTTGTCCTCCCACAAAAGCAGTGCAATTTTATCTATGCCACCACATCGAACTGTTAGTGTGATGTAGGAAATGAATTAGAAATTCCTATTGAGAAAAAATGATATTGTGGTGTAGACCACAAGAAAAATTTAAGATTTCTCCTTGTTGTTCACCACAGGTTGGAAAAATCAGTATTTCATCAACTTATTAAGTTGAACAATAATTAGCACTTAAATTGTATGTGAATTCAATTTTCTTGTAAATACTGCGTTCAGCTTGAATCAACTTTTCGTCTGCACCATCTGTTCTGACTCCAACACGAAAAAAATTTATTAGAAATAATTCAATCTTTCAATCCATAGTCAACAAAAAACTATATTGTATTACATTAGTATATTATTTGTAAGATTATCACCAGTAAAAACTATACGGCATCATCATTTCTGTTTTATTTTGTTTCTCTCGACAAATTCATCCCCATATCCCATTGGATTCGAGACATTTAACCCCTGGATTTGTTTTGTATAATTTAATTAGACATGGGCTGCATCTAAGGAACTTTGATTGGATATGTTTAGCCAACAAAAAAAAATCCGAACCTAAACCACACTGACACTGAACAGCCTTTGAAATCATTATTTGAACAAAATACTGCTAATGTAAATGAAGTGAACAACCTGAAAGGCTTACATAAATCTCCTGATGCAGCCTAAATTCCAGTACACGAATTAGGTGCTACTCCGAGTTAATATAACTGGAAAAATCAATATTGTCATTTTCTTATGAGCCTCAGACCGTCGTTAATCAGAAGAGATTTTGGACCCATTTATAACATGTTTGGAAACCCATTAGAAAGTAAAAAATCACGTCAATTCATCCTAAAACGTGAAAGTAATAACTATTCGCTTCTGAATAAACGTGGAAAACCGCATCAAAAACGTGCAACCAAACACACTATTAGTCTCAATTGAGTCCGATAAAGTTTTCCTGACAAATAGCTACTCCCTTTTTTCATACACAAGAACAGTGTCCTTTTTTTATCATTACAGGTTAGAATGAAAAATTATTTCTCACTTTTCAAAAAGAGACTTTTATCCTGGCTAGCTCTCGTGATAAAGGACTTAATGGCCAACAAATAATCACTTTTGGTCCATTGATGCATATGTAAACCGATATATGATTCATCATCAAAAGACAATGCAGAATCCTCTATAACACCAATGCTTAGGATAACCAGATTCCCAAAATTAAAACCAATTATCAACCACTACTCCAGAAACAAAAAAAAAAAAAAAAAAAA